AGGGAAGAGGTGTGTACAGGCAAGGAGCAGGTTGGGGAGACAACCTGCAGGGGTCCTGTGGATTTTGGGAACCAGGACGCTGACCAATAACTGATGGGTTCTTCCCGGCTAGAAAGAAGCTGACACATTCACTCCTGTCCGTTACACACCAAGTCTACTTCTTTGGTCTGTGGCCCCAGCTTCCTGGGCAGTCATAGGTCAGGACCATCCCCATAAAGCACTTGGAGGTATTTTTTTCCACCTGCCCCAGCACCACGACACCAAACCCGGCCCCCAAGAGTGGGAAGAAATGAAAGCATGACAACTATGAAGCACTGAAGCAAAATGCCCCAACATGTAAGAAAATCATGAGAGAAATCATAGAATTACTTTTGTGCAAAAATATTAAGGTGAACACATATTAGGCCCATCTATCCTTGGGAAATGGGAACAAGGCAAAAATGGCTTTGGGACGAACAGAACCAGAATGTTTGGGATCTGAATTAGGGCAAAGGACGTGGAGGAGAGATTCTAAATTGGGGGATGCAAATTCAGTGCCAACATGTGCCAGGTAGATAATTCCATAAGTAATGAGGGCTGGATGTGGAGGGATCAATTGGAACTGGCACTCAGGGGTACAACATGGAGGGGTGGGGACCAGAGCAACCTAAGGAACTCAGGCCCCAGCTAAGGACTGCAGGGCAGGCCTGCCAGACCTCTCGTTCTTTTAGGCAGACAGGACACCCAGGCCAGAATGTGAAATCTAATTTCTAAACACTGGCAATTAATTCATATTGAACACATTTTAAGGGAAAGAAATTAACCCAAACACATTTGGTCTTTAAGCAGTCAGTGAGCCATGTGTTCTAAGAGCGGAGGATTAGGATAACTCGTTAGGAGGGAAAGAACCAGAAAGATTTGAACTCGAATTTATGCTCATTAATAGATTAACCTCCTTGAGACCCAGTTTCCTCACCCATAAAATGGAGATAATAATAAATTGCCTTGCTAGGTTGATGTATGGATTAAATGAAATGATGTTTCCGAAGTGGTTGGCACATTATAGCACTCAAGAAATTGCAGCTGTTTTGCATTAAATTTTGGGGCACTCCATGTTTTCTGACGGAATGTTTAAATACTTATTATTAAATCACGTTCTGTTTTCCTAATGGCATCTCAAACGTTTCTTCTTTTTATGTTTCCAAGGGAACTTAAAAGAGTATCTAAACACCTTAGCTAAGTAACAAGTGACCTGTGAATCAATACTTAGATCCTTAAAATAACTCTATTATCCAAACATGATTTTACAAAGTCAAAAAATCTTTTGCGATACAAATGATCAACTCATTAATGTTCCTGAAAAGTTCAGATTTTTTTAATCTGCGAGAATGGATTTCCTTTAACATGATGTGAATGTTGCAACTAAAAGCACAGCATCTGTGGATTGTTTGCTGAATCTTAACAGATGACCCCGGAGGGGTAGAGGCTTGGGCTAAGTTTGGTCTGCAGCTGAATCCCTCTCAAGACTGTGCCACTGGACACCTACTTCACAAATCCACACTAATAAGACCAGGAGACTTAGGAGTTTTGCTTAGTACATAGAAACAGACATGTGGAAAGGCAGCCAAAATGGGAAGACAAAGAAGCAGAAACCTGTGAGAGAACAGAACAGAGATGTAGATATAATGGAGTCAAGTAATCCAACAGATGCAGAGTTCAAAACACTGGTTATAAAGATGCTCAATGAACCTTTGGGAAGTGTAGATAAAGTCAGTGAGAACTTCAACAAAGAGACAAAAAACATAAAAATAGAAATGGAAATTACAAAAGAGAACCAGTTTGAAAGGAAGAACACATTATCTGAGATGAGAAGTATATTAAATGGAATAAACAAAGTGAATAAAGAAGAGGATCAAATGCCCTATCTAGAGGACAGGAAAGCCAATCAGGACACTCAATTAGAATGGCAAGAAAAAAGATGCCAGGACTATAAAAATAATTTAAGGAGGATATGGGACACTATAAGGCTCCAAATATTCATCTGATCAGCGTAACTGAAGAAAATCAAGATGTTAAACAGCTGTTTGAAGAAATAATGATGGAAAACTTCCCTAACCTGGTGAAGGAAACGGACACAAAACCCCAGGAAGCTCAGAGAATTCCAAAAATCAGGGATCTAAAGAGGTCCATACCAAGACACATCATAATTAAAATGCCAAAGATTAAATGCAAAGAAAGAATATTAAAAGCAGCAAGAGAAAAACAAATAATTACATATAAGGGAACACCCATAAGACTGGCAGCTGATTTCTCAAAAGAAACTATGCAGGACAGAAGGGCTTGGCAAAAAATATTCGGAAGGGTGAAGACACAGG